TTATCCTCTTGTTTTTGCGTTGTTGTACACACTGTACCCAGAAGATAGGTGGGTCGTCATTGCGTGCTTAGTGAACCCCACACGCGCCGTTGGAAAAATCGGTAGCTCTTGCCAGCAAAATAGTGCTTCATTTGTATTGGAAACCTAATGACACTCATCTACTCAAGGTGAAGCCTGAGTAAGTCGAGTTTGTCCTCACTCACTCTACACGGCCTCGCTCGTCTTTGACAATCTCCCCTTTCGGCCTTTGAATGATCTAGGAGGATGCCACTTTGCTGGCTAGAACTACCTCAAAATGAACCTACAGTATATTGGTTAGTAGACCAACGGAAGATACTGAGGGTATCATGTTCGCTCTCATGCATAGCGACCATTACCTCATGAAGGTTAGTTTGATATTTCACCGCCTTTGAAAGCTTTTTGACAATGTTACAAAAGTTCGGAGTTCTAAATCTCAGAAACACTTAGATATACGCTGCCCGCAACACGATTCCCAAAAAAGTCGTCTAGTGTTCCACTGCCTTCTCAAAAAGGTGGCTATTCCGGTGGCTTAGAACAGGCCGTCACAGAAAGTAAACGACGACGTTGCTCACTGACCACGGTCACTGACGACAACTGCGTTGATCTATTGCTGGCAGTGGGTAGACACACTTTCATCATTCTATCCATTTCAACATTCCTTTCCATAAGAAGCTCAAAGAAAGCGGAACTTCTCTCTAGGCAGGTTTGGAAATGATTGCACTGGCATTTCTGCAAATCGCGCCTTGAAAAGACATAGGACAAAGGGGTTATCGTTCTTACGGAAAGCGCCACACACTTGATTAATAATCTCAAGTACAGACTTTGAGGAAAGCATTTCGACTGCCATATTCTTCAATCAGGACACGTTCTGCATTGGGGAATCCCTAGATGGGGTAGGGATTGTATTTGCTCCTCGCTAGGCCTCGTTGGAAGAGGTGGGAATGGGGGAGGGCGTTATATCGTACAAGCGGACAGAGGCCACTAACTGAAGCGTGCAGTGGAGTGGCAGCTGAAAAGGAGACCTTCACACTGCTTGTAACATGTCAAACTGCGTGCTGATAGGGCTTACCCCACGCCTAATGTGTTGCGTACACTGCTTCTTTTGTCTTCAGTTGCAACCCGCTGAACACCTCACCACATACAGGTCACATAGCAGAAAGACTTTGGCGAATTCTTTTTTGATTCTCATTCCCCTCCACTCAGCTAGCGATTTTCCCAGCGTCTAGTTACGCAACACTTCAACGAACGATCCTTGATTTCCGTACATCGAAGGAAGCAGTTTCACGATAATGAGCCTCTAATACTTGAAATCAAAACTCAAAGCGGAAGGACGCTGATAGAGATTGTGCCGCTGATGGTATCTATCCGTTTTTAATCGATTAATAAGATTATCTGTTCACCTCGTCATCATGTCCTCATCGCCAAATCTTTAAGAATTGTCGCGTGAATCACCTCGGACAGCGACGACGAATGCAAATTTCTGTTATCAGCCCCTATCAAGTAGTTATCAGCTTCAAAGTAAATCGCGGTTGATTGTCCCCATCTCCACCCCTCTAGTATCATCTTGGCTGAAACGCGTGCCTCTCCGCGATGCTGTACCCTGCGCAACTGAATACCGATAACGTCACCTAATGCCCTTAATGATCTTATCAGCTGATATCAAACTTGCTGTCACCCACCAATCAAAGTTCTGGTTCCCTACCCTAGTATCATATCTCGAACAAGGACAGCTAGCTGGTGGCTGTCACCTCGTTATGAAATATGGCCCTCCCCATTCTAAACGCCCCTTCTTATCGTATCTTATGCTGCCCTGATATCACTGTCCTGTCCACCCGCCAATGGATGTGTCCCGTCCGCAGTCTCCTACAACATTCTTGAAATCCAATTTCTCAGCTGCTAATTGGACGCATCGCTCATGACTTTCGCCGACACACACACAACAAACAACACAGACACCACACACACAGCTACACATAGCGCATTATATATAGTAGGATCTCTCCTTCGAGAAAGACCCTTCGCGCTCTCGAGTTGTTGGTTCGCAGTTTTCTCCTCGGTTGTTGTATCACTCCCTCTCCATCTCGACAGCGAAACCTGTCGGGGAAAAACTATAATTCGAAGACGTAGAAGGAGGTGGAAAAAGTGGCAAGAGAGGGTGACAGCTAGATACGGATCGGGTGGAGAGGGAGGGGGATCACAGAAGATGGGACATTGGTGGACATTTCCCCAAAGTTTCCGCGCGCAGGGCGTGCCCTGTCTGCCAATACCTATGCGACTGCCATACAATGAATTAAATAGCATGTGATGGTAATTGTAAAAAGTGTACGCCTGGCGATAGCACGTGCAATGTACTGACCAAGATTACAGGAGCGGATAGAGGCAGGAGTGCAGCGCATGATTATGACCACAGATTACCTCTCTGGTAAGTTCCGCACCCCCCCTCCCCCATCCTTCATCCTAAGCTATGATCTACGGGGTTTCCACATTTAGACGAGTTTTTTTTCTAAAGTCCAGGAAGTGGAATAAAGAGCCCATCAGTGTCCTTGCGACAAAAAAAAACTGTGAGATAGTCAACCACGGAAGTTTTTTTTTCAATACAAGGCCGACACTGACCCCTTTTTACCATTACGACCAAACACCTCCCCCTCCGAGAGCGAAATGCCCCAACGAACGACGGCCTGATTCGGAGATATCACCCGAGAAGGATCTTCCCTAACTCACGGCCAGTGAGAAGCGTGCTTGGGGTAGGAGAACGGTAGCGACCCTGTTCATGTGACGGTCGCTATAAGGTCCACCACTACTGAAAGAAAAAACGCAAATCAAACTCCTCTACCGAATCAACGAAACGTGTTAATTAAAGTCCGTTTAATTCCTTTCGACGGTGAGTATGATTACAGTGTCAAAAGTGGTTGACTGATGGATTCGACTGGGAAAGGCGACCATAAATTTTCCTTCATGCGGAACGTAATGCAGTTTTTGTGTGGCAACCCCGTTAAAATGAGGATGGGACCCTACTCCATCTGCCCAGCAATTTTGCTCACGCGAACAATCCAGAGAATCAAGAAGGTAAATGAGAAATGTGTCGGAGCAGTTACACTGATCAAACAGCAGGGCTGACGGAGCTAAAACACAGGTTCAGGTGTATTATTCATAGCCATGAAAGACTTTATTTGAGGTAAGTACAATTTGAATAGAACCGGTAAGAACAAAAACAAGGTGTTGATGTGTCAGTGACGTGGTTAAAGGTTTAATGCACATCTGGCTATCTATGTTGGTAGCCTTGTGACTAGCACGCTTTGCTAAAGACTTTGCACTAATATCGAACTTGAGATGAGAATTTGAAAAAGGTTGTTTTCATTGAGAATCCTTACTGTAGTTGTAGATGTATAGAATATACACGGCGCATGCTTGGTGCTAGGGATAAAATGATTTTCCAGAAGCGTAATGGGCTCGATTGGTGGTTACAAGCCTGCGAACTGAGTCCTTTTTCCTTCTCCCCGAAGTGTCTCCTTCTGATAACCTAGCCACCAAAATCACGCCGCTGGCCGGTCGTCCACCAATTGCTGAATGGGTAAGCGACAACAGTTTGTAGAAAATTACTGTTTCAAACGATATGATACGTTCTTGTCGCTTGCCTAAAAAGAAAAGAAATGGGCTGGAGCCGTGCTAATTGTAAGCCCTTCCCTTCTAGTACGCGCCATCATCCGAAGCGAACATAAGCTGTAGACCCACCGGTCAACTGTCAGAATGGACTCAAAGCGCGGCCGAGTGGAGGAAATTGAGGAGGGATTGGAAGGAACCAGCAAACGGAAATTCTTCAAGCTCGAATAGGCCTTTCTCCTCCAGCGACGGAGTGAAACTCTCCGCTGTGGGTTTCACAGCCAATAAAGTGCCCCGCCCCCGCCTAACAGTCACATATGAGAGAAATGTATGAGGTACTGATTGAAAGGCAAAGCGCTCAACCTGAAAAAGCGGAGTAGCCGTTCAAAATGTCCTCTATAGAGTTCCATGCCGATCCTAAAGTGTACGTGGACACAGTGAAAGGGAGGGGAGTTTGTTCGAATTTTCACTCGCTGTGATCATGGCGATATCATCTCTTTCTTATCAACTCACTCTCACCATTCAGAACCATAGTGAAGAGAGCTAGCAGAGGGGTACTAGCTAGTACTAGCGAAACTGGAGATGGCGTTTAAGGTTGCCATAAGACCTAGCAATTTAGTAGATGCTGCCGGGGTTCTTTCGATTTTCACTTTTGAATAGAGCACAGCCTCCACGATTGCCTACCGGATCATCTGGCACATATGAGAGGCTATAGCCTTAGCCTATTGCGAGCCATGCCTTTGAGCTAGTTTGAAGCTTTTCTTGTGCCTCCTATGCAGGCTGAGCATAGACAGCAGGGCACGCCATCGCGTTGCGATCGTTTCCCAAAAATACGACCTCCTCAGGGAATTTCTCAGATTTTCCCCTAACCTCCCGCCAGTTTTTCCGGAATTTCCAAGAAATTCCTGGATTTTTCCCCGGCGCCCATCGATCGAGCGTTCGCAGACGAGAGCCATCGGAGCCGACGTTTGCGGCTGCGTTCACGTTTGAATTTTGGAGCGCTGTTGCAAGTGCAGTGCGACGACGCGCGTCACAGCGCGTCGACGCGTGTTATCGGAAATGTCTGACCGCTCTACTCTTTAGCCTCACTTACGAGTCCGAGTCTTTCCAAGAAACGTGCCACACTTGTCAGAAGTCAACAACTGAACTCTACAGAACATGGAAAGGCATCCTCGTAGGTGAGTGTACAGACTATTTTTCACCCACACTCCATTCCTTGTGAGTTCCGAAGTACCCTTAGTGGACGTTTTAAGGTAGACTATCATACCTTTTGGAATTTCGTAGAAACAAAAGCAAAGCGTAAGCGTTTATTACAATACTTTAATACATGATACACCGTTTGTCTCAATAAGCGCCTTAATGTGAGCAAATATGATCACTTATTTCTTATTTGAAGGAACAAAGACGGAATCAACTTCCACATTATTGTTGGCCGGAGTGTCGTTTGCCTGGTTTTTGGCGTTCTTGATGACAATGTCTTCGTATACACCATCTACAGTCTGAAACAAGGTTTTACCCGTCATTGTGGCCTAAGTAACGTTGACTATGAAATTTCATTCTGATGAAATAAAAACTGAGAAACAGCTTTCATCACAAGGCTGAGTTATGGGCAAAGATCAGACCACAGACGGTACTCGAATCCGTTCTCTCTCTCTCACTGGGCAAATGCGCCAACCATTACGCAATGGTTAGGTAGCGTCCACCGGAGTGTGGTAGCATATACAAGCGTCCACCAACCTTCACCAGCGACCGGGAGTAGAGATTACAGCGAAAAAAGGTAGCAAACAGCTGCATTAGAAATTGCGGCGTCTACAACAGGACCGCAATGCTAAAGCACGGAATCATGCTATTTAATGTACGGTGTAGTGTAGGGTACGTGCGGTTGCACATGCCGCAGTTTCACAACGTCTAATCCAGCTGTTCGTTACGCTTCCACTTCCCATCCCGCGGTCGTTGGTGGACATCGGTGGACTCTGCCAGATGCTGGTGGACGCTAGATCGAAACCTATATCTCCAACTCTCGAGCACTGGTGGATGCTGGCAGACGCTGGCACTAAAGGCGCACACTTCACACGCCCGGGATACGGAACGTGTCTCTCAGTTCTGTGGAAAAGACTTACCCCCTCATCGACAGCGGGAGGATTATTGGGTGCTGGGTTACTAACTAATTCTTGCGATCTACGTAATTCTCGTTTCCTTTTGATATCTTCAATCGATACATTCTTCTGGTCGCTCTGGTCGCGTTTTTTCCTTCGTCTTGACCTGTATGGTTCCATTGATTCCTTTGATAGTTCTCCAGAATTTTTGCTTTTATTCGCTTCTGATGAGGTCCTCCGGTCACCCTGTTGCTTCTTTCCTCCTCCAGCACCTGAACACTGATTAGTATTCATGCGGTTATTTCTGGCACACTGAGAGAAGAAGTTTTGAAATTTTTCAGAGGCGATAATAGCATCGTTCGGTCATAACCTAGACGGGAGTGCAGCAGGATGCTATGCATTTTCCCCTGAAGCGTCTTGCTCTGGAATGCACTCCAGCATTCAACACTGAAACACTTCGAATGGCCTTCACTCAGGTTACTAAAATATAATAATGGTAAAAGTGATTTCATAACGCGAACACCATGTGACGGGTGCTATGAATTTCGTGACAGACAGACGGATACACACACAGAAACATACACACTGACGGACGTACTCAGTGACTTATATATAGTAGGATACCTGGAGATCTGTCGGAACATCCGGAAGTGAGTATTGTCGCTAAAACAGAAATAACCCATAAGTACAGAAGTGGAATTATGGTGTCCTGAAAAGGGACGCGAAGTCACTATCTCATAACTTGGACAAGTATCATATTGTTGTTGCTCGAATGGTTACTTATAATGGTTCTTAACTGAAAGTTTCTTCTACCTCTACAGGGTATGTTTGCGATGTTAAAACTAACTGAGTGTCTTTGCATCTTGCATTATGCGAGGATAACGCTCAATGCAGCTCTGAAGAAAGCATACAATAGGGAGCACAAGTTTCTAGAGACATTACCCATCGATTCTGGTGAAAAGCTCATCCAGCCAGCTTCTCTTGCTATTCTCATCAATTGAACGTTCACATTTGCGCGGCAAGACAAAGGAGCCGTACTCTGTATTCTACGTTCAAACCCATCTTCAAGTGCTCAGAAGTACACTAGGCTTCGATGTAGGAAACTTTGTAGAGGGCGTGTGGTCATTTACGCTAAGTTCTGTACTCGGAAATCAAAAGAGATTGACTTCTTATCGTGCTAAATGTCACATTTCCAACTCACCCTCCACACCGCTAGACCCGTCATAGCGCAGATGTTGAAGTGAAACCTACCAACCGGTTAGCACCGTTCTTATTTTTGGACAGTAACTTGTTAACCAGTATACGAAGATACTATTCATCTCGAATTGCTCATTGAAGCGGTCTGGAGGAGAGGCATCCATAATGAACTACTGCTTAAAAATACACTCAATACTACGCCGATTTTGTTTTTGATAAACGAGCCAAATATAGCTAGCAGGTGTTTGCAAAGAAGCCCTCAAGAACCTATAGGAATTTGTGTCCCATGAAATGCCTTTGTTCACTGATGGTGAGGACAAAGGTGGGAGTGCACGATATGTGCTTCAACTTCAAGTAGGACTTTAACTGCGGCAAGGTCAGACATCGTGGAAGAAGGATGCGAATATTGTTTGCAGCGTCCTTGGTGTTAGTATCGGCTGTGCTCGCATTGCTTTCACTGAATTTCCTGTTCTAATCACAGTCATTCTTTCATCATTAGAAGGGTCAGTTCTATGTAGCACTTTATAAAATTTGTAATAGTGGTAAATCTGTGATACTTGCAATAAAGTCCATCATCCAGTGCGACTCTGTGATACTCAAATTTTTGCTGCAGAAGACAATTTTCTTGCTGCGTTATCCGATCAGCTCGAGATTCACTTTATAACCAGTCGGATTGCACGGCCTACGCCGTGCTCTCCTACTTCTCTTGAGCTCGGCTTTGCCGAGCTGGCCTGGCTTCGCCAGGCTGCTCTATAATTTTAGCGGAACTTTTCGGTAGTGCGCTGCTCATAAGGCGCTGTAGTGATCGAATCGTAACAGACAGAGCAAGGCTTAGGATCCCGCACAACTTAGCACGCGCTTCTATTTACAGCAGCGGTGTAGTCCGCGCCATGACGCCCATAGAATACATAAATCTAGATACAATGTGTAGTCGGCCAATACAGCGCAATAGAATGGCTCAGTGCAATAGCACATTTCGTTTCTATTACCTGCACCGGAATGCATACCGACGAGCGCTTTCCTTTTCAATTAGCATGCAATTTGCTCGCTGAAGTGTTTTTCGGTTCTCTTACCTGAGATTCCTGTTTCAGGCGAACTCCCAGCCCCCCCCCCCGCTCGTCGACATCGACATTATATAGTAGGATGAGTTCATTTTCTAAAGCTATCAGGGAAGTGATGGCTAAAGGAAAAGTATGCACAGTGAGCATTCGATACTTGGGGGTGTAGTGATAAGAGAGGTAACGTTGATGGCCCCTTGTACTTTCTTATCAATTGATAAGATCCTGTCAACCGTCATCAATGTCACTATCACCATTCTACTATATATAATCCGCTATGTGTGTCTGTGTGTGTGTCTGTGTGTGTGTTTGTGTGTGGTGTGTGTGTTGTGTGTGTCACGAAACATTCATGCGAGGGCGTGCGCAGATATAAGAGCAGGGCATGAGCAGTTGCGCAAGAAGTGAGTACTACATGGCAGGGACGCGGGAACACTTTTGGTGGTGCAGGAGAGTGATAAACGACTTGGATAGGAGATAAGGCGATAAAAGGGCCGTAGCAGGGAGGTGACTGAATTCGTGCGCAAGTAGTCAGTTTTGCAGCTCAGGTGTGGGAGTCTGTGATTTCTAAGGAGTGATAATACATGGCAGGACGGAAGGCACTTTTGATGGTGAGCGAGGGAGGTAAGACAGCTGATAAGACTTCGTAAGGGCCCTTAGCAAGAGGGGGGGGGTGACCGAATCGTAGCGCAGAGTTGCATGGCGCTGCGGGAGCCGTGATTCCAATAAGTGATGATACATGGCACGGAGCGGGAAGCAGCTTTTGGGGTGAGCAGGAAGGTGATCACACTTGATTAAGATTTGATAAGGGGCTTAAAGCGGGAGGGTGACTGAATGTGCGTGCTAAGTGCCAGGCAAGCGGCTAGGACGCGATCGATTTCACAGTACTTGATATGCGGTAGGGTGGGCTGCAGAAAGCTGACATAACAGTTGATAAGATTCGATAAGGGCCTCGGAAGAGGAGGAGTAGCATCAAATTCGTTGGCGCAGCAGGTTATAGCAGTCAGTGGGAACTCAGATCCGTGAGGTGATATAGGGTGTGGGACGGGAACATTATTGACCGGGCGACAGGAAAGTGATAACATGTTGAATAAGATTACGGTAGCAGCTCGGAAGGGGAGGGTCATCAGATTCGTACCGCAGGTTACAAGTACAGATGGGACGCTCTGATCAAGAGGCGAAGAGGTCAAGGGTATGATTGTGATGCGGGACGGGAGTGTTATTGCGTGGGTACGGAATGATAGGAGTAAAAATTGACAAGGTAGCTGGGAAAATCGCTTCAAGCCGGGCCTTACACCCCGAAGGCAGTAGGCTGATCGCGATATGGATCAAGTATAACGATGGCTCAGTGATATCCTATACAGAACTCATGTGCCTGCACTGCTTTATTAGTAACGAAGCTCGCATGTACGAGCCGGCTTAAGGCGCTAGACTCTAATTTTTTTTTTTTTTTTTTTTTTATATTTTTTTTTTTTTTTCTTCCAAAATGCATGTGGTTTGTTTACGAGAGTATGGTTATGAACAGGGCAGGCATACTGACTTATCAAGCACATCTTGACCCCGACAATAAGCTGCCATCACCTCAACTGTTAGTGAAGGGGCCATTCAAAAGGTATCCCACAGTTGAATGCGGGAGTGCATTCCAAAGCATAGACCGGCTTTAAGGAAGTACAAGACTGCACTTAATTCATAGCTGGCTTCAGTGGCTGTCCAAAAACAGGCTGGGCACTATTTCGGCGGTGTAGGTTATTGAGCGTAACCAGTGTCGGAATCGCTGCTAGCGCGCTTTCACTCCTTCTGTGTTCTCTGGGGGGGGGGGGGGAGGTGGGGGAGGGGCGCTGCTGGCTGCTTCGCGCCTTGACGAACAAGGGCCTTGGCCCTTCACTTCGTTGGCATGGATGCTAGAGATTGCTTTAGAACAGCTGGCTGTTGGTCCAATGATACGCTTAACTGAGCAATCGGCGCCAATCAGCGATGCCCGGCGAAGCCGGACATGTCAGCAGAAGGAGGTAGGCGCGCCGGGCGACAGCGGGCGGCGATCGACTGTGAATATCTATAATTTAGGCAGTGTTAAGGGGCTTCCCAGCAATTGTAAACTAACAGCATTGGGCCGTTGCTTATCAGCCCCTATCGATGCTGTTATCCGGTACACCTCAGCTTGCCCGTTTACGGCGAGCATCCGGCCATCTCCGTAACTGCTTATACATCAATTTCTGAATTATATAGGGGGTGCTGCTGAGTGTTCCGCGTTTATGAGTATGGGTGACCTATACGCATTCTAACTCCAGCGCTTTCAAATGCTATCAAGGTCTGGCTATCAATTCGCGTTCAGTATGTTCTGTCCTCACGTCCTATATGCATACCTGGAACGCAAAGTAGCTATCGTGTTAGCTGTGTCCCGCACTTTGGCTGTCAAGCACTGTCCGCTTTGGCTAAAGGCGCGCCTTATGGAATGCTTATCATGGTGCTATCGCATTCTACTGACCCTACGCGAAAGTCAGTTCGCGCGTCTCATGGCATGTATATGCAGCTCTTGCAGCTGTTGTCGCTATGCTTTCTGCGAGCGACTGTCGCTATGACCTTTCGTGACAGACAGACGTACACCAAGACAAAGCAACACAGACGCCAGCACACACACCACAGCTTAACGAGTCATACTTAGCGGATTATTTATAGTAGGATGCTTGTTCAAGCACTCCCTAAAACATGTGGATTTCTTCAGATAATCATGATAGCAACGCCGCTTATTCAAGTACTTTCTAGAGCATGTGGATTTCTTCAGGTAATCATGCCAGCAACATCGGAATCTTTCCAAGTGGTGAGGAGGTGCCACGTCTGTGCGAGCATGTTTCAGGTCCCACCACTTCACCAGGTATCAACTCAGTTGTCTTAAATGGTCAAGGGGACTGAACAAGAGAAAGAGGAATAAGAGCATAGTGATGAAGTCTTTTTCTGCGAGAATCACGAAAAAGAGATTAGATTTTGATGAGGATTTCATAGTACAAGCACCAGAGATGCTGCGCAGTCCGAAATGAGGTGGTA